CAATCCACAAGGCTTGGTCAACCTTCTGCCGGACCTCATTCGTTAATCCACAAGCCTCAGTCAACCTTCTGCCGGACCTCATTCGTATGACGCCGGTCCGCCTTAGTTGGAAAATGTTTCAAAGACGCTATGACAATAACAATTGTGAACAAAATTCCTACTGGTGACTTCTGGTATCGTTACAACTTCCCGACGGTCCAGACAGTCTCACAAATAAACAAAATAAATAAGGGAAGCCTTTCGGTTTCACCGCACAAATGTTGTGCTTCGCAAACTGTACAAATACATGCAAGTGCCCCACGTGACGAGGCTTGGTTGTTTTTTGGGGGGGGGGGGGTTGAAATAAGTTATGAAATGTTGAGAGATGAGGCATTGAAGTACTACCAATATCATCCTTGAGACGTGTGAGGCAGGGGAGATAAATACCCTCTTCATTTTCTTTCAATCCGCGTACACGCGACTTTTTTGATATTGCGTAGCACTTAAAGGTTGTCTCCCCTGATTAAGTAAATGAACTTATAAGATCTCTGAAGTCATGTTCCTTTTTTTTCTCCCCCCCCCCCGCACACCCCCATTTGTTCTTATCAAACATGACTTTGAAGAGTTCTTTAATCATTTATATAAACTTAGCTTTTGTTCGCGGCTGGCAAAATTCTTTGGAAGGATAATTGACCCACTTCCCGTCAACCTATCGAGCTGAAATTTGGCACATAGACTCACTGCCGCTATTTCATAGACTTAACCGGCTGTTTCGTAAATTTAATCGACTGTTTCATAGACCTAAACGTTTCGTAGATTTAACCGGCTGTTTTGTAGAATAAACCGGCTGTTTTGTAGAATAAACCGGCTTTTTCATAGACTTGACTGGCTTTTCCATAGATTTAACCGGCTGTTCATAGATTTGATTGGCTGTTTCATAGACTTAACCGGCTGTTTCGTAGATATAATTGGCTGTTTCGTAGACTTACCGTACCTTTCATAGATTTCATCGACTGTTTTGTAGATTTAATTGGCTGTTGCTTAGACTTAACCGGCTGTTTGTAGACAGAACCGGCTGTTTCGCATACTTAACTGTTTCGTATACTTAACTGTTTCGTAGATTTAACAGGCTGTTTCGTAGATTTCAATGGCTGTTTCGTAGATTTCAATGGCTGTTTCTTAGACTTATTCAGCTGTTTCGTAGACTTAACGGACTGTTTCGTAGACTTAACCAGCTGTTTCATAGACTTTACTGGCTGTTTCGTAGACTTAACTGGCTGTTCGTAGATTTAATCGTCTGTTTTGTAGATTTAATTAACGAGCTGTTTCGTAGACTAAATCGGATGTTTCGTAGACTTAACCGGCTGTTATGTAGACTTTACCGACTGTTCACAGGCTATGTCGTCTGTTCATGGACTACCCGCTATTCCTAGACTTTACAGACTACTCGCAGACTCTACCGGCTGTTCCCTATAGCCTGTGCCGGCTGTTCATAGAATCCCGCCTTTTTGTAGAGCTCCTGCTATTTTCCTAGACTCTGCTCGCCTACTAAATGTCTTGTCCTAGCAGATGTTTGTTTGAACACATTAACACCAACCGTCTAATCTACTTTTTTTTTTTTTTTTTGGTGATGATTTCAGAGGAACTAAGATCTACACACGTTTGCTCAACCTCCACAACAAGACGTAGACGTTTATAGAAACACATAGAGATTAATTGATCCGATTAAGGGTAGGATACCCAAGACAAGACCTCACACGAGTTAGTCTCGGCGGCCCCCCAGACCAAGTGTAGGATACCCAAGACAAGACCTCACATGAGTTAGTCTCAGCAGCACCCGGCTTATGTTTGTGCTAAGCGGCACAAATTTGATGGTTTCCCCAGCAGTGTTCGATCATGGCTTCTGAAGGATATATGCTGGTGAGTCAAGATTGAATCCAGGGCTTATGGAATATGATGAATATTAGACTTTAGGCCATGAATATTAGATGTTAGGTCATGAATATTCGACTTAAGGTCTTGAATATTCGACTTAAGGTCTTGAATATTAGACTATAGGTCATGCATGTTAGACTTCAGATCATGAATTTGACCCCAGGCCATGAATATTTGACCTCAGATCATGGATATTGAACTTCATTTCATGAATATTTGCAGGAGCGTAACTGGGTTTTTGACGCCCTTGGCTTAATTCATTTTTGGCGCCCTTTTGTTTAAATAAAAATAAAAAATAGCGATTTAGCGGCGCCCTTTTGAACTGCCCCAGGCCGGTGCCCTTGCGCAACTGCCCCAATGCCAAGCCGTTGTTACGCCACTAAATATTTGAAGTCAAGTCATGGCTGCAGGTGAAGCAATTTTCATTGAAAAACTTGTTTGAAGGACGACACCACTAAAGTTATAGACATTTTTGTATGACTCTTAACCCAGACCAAAAAGTCAAACTCGGCAGAATCTCTTGCTGGGCGGCGTACCTGCCTTTACTGAGCATAGAGATTCATTGAACATGTTTTTTTTTACCTTTTTGAGAAATGCATTTAAGTTATAGTTAAAGTTATGATAGCAAAGTTTGTTTTTTTTTAAGTGCAGAAGGGTAAGCTACTCACTCAAGTTTCCCCGTGCATATATTTCATGTCAGGGCAAAGTTCTGACTGATTCTGCCGTTTTCCAAATATGACACTGGCATATGACTTGAAGCTTTCAAGTATGTGTGTGTGGGGGGGGGGGTTACCGGAAATGTGGTCGAAAGAAATTTCGTTGACGGAAAATTGATCGATGGAAATTTGATCGAACGGAAATTTGGTCGAATCTTCTTTTTTTTTCAGTTCACGCGTTTAAATTGTCGTCAAATTTCTTTTTGAAAGCACGACACTATATAGTAAAACAAAATAATGCGTTCAAAAAGAAATTGGGCTCAAATTTTTAATGTTTGAACTGAAACTGAAAAAAAAAAAAGGTTGGACCAAATTTCCGTTCGATCAAATTTCCGTCGACCAATTTTCCGTCGACGAAACTTCTTTTGATCAAATTTCCNTTGTTTTATTATACGGAGGGGGAGTTTTTCCGTGGAAGGCGGGTGGTGGTTGGGGGGGGGGCAAAATCGTTACCCACGCCACCGGAGACAGGTCTTCCTGCCTGTTATGTATTGATTGACCAGCTGTGTCAATTAATGAGTCTCTGGGAAGTAGTTAAAAAAAAAAAAAATTTGGAGTGAGGTTGATAGAGGGTTTTTTTTTTTTTTCACCTTGCCTGTACGCAATGGCAATCAACTTAAATCTGTGTGCGTCCAACAGGAAGGTGGGGGCCGCCCTGCCATGTCCGCATGCAGGTCCCGCCACTGACCAGCCCCGCCCCGGGTCTCGCAGTATGAACCCCAACAGCATGGGGGCGCAGTCTGCCGGCAGCCACAGCGGTGACAGCAGCAGCAGTGACGCCACCTCCAGTAACCATGGCAACAACGGCTCATCCTCCCTGACCCATGACATCCACGGAGGTACCTTGTTTTTTTTTTTTTTTGGTGTTTTTTTTAAACCTGTCATTGCTGTTCGTTCCTCCTATTAAATATCACAAAGTGAACATTTCTTTGTGTTACACTTTGGACCGGAGAGCTAGAATGTAGTGCACTGCTTAATCTTGCGACACATGTTGATGCTTTTAAAGATTTTTTTTTTTTTTAGATCATCTTACCTTCTAAAAATATAATTTTCGTTAAAATTTTTCAAAATTCTATTTTTAGATCATCACCTTACATTTGCGAAAAGAGGGTGGAAGAAAAACAAATCTTTGCTAATTTTTTTTTTTATACCTGGCGAAAGCTACGGTCTTGATAAAATTGAAAACCAAATTTATCAATTTTAATCAATAAGTGTTTCACAAGTGATACAAGCATATAAGTCGTGCGTATTTGATTGTGTTTGAAGCGAGCACTCACACCCCTTTGAAGCAAAGCAAGACCCTGAATCAGTTTACTGATCGCTGTTTTTCCAACTCCCTCCCTAGGCATGACGGTGCTGCCCGGACCGCCTTCCTACGGCAGCTTCCCCCAGGTGACCATGGCCTACGGACATTACAACCTCTACGACAAGGTGGGCGTCATGCCGTCCATGGCCAAGGATGGGGGTGAGTGATGGCATCTGTTGTTGTTTTGTTTTTGTTTTATCTCACGTGGCAGAATCTAGTCACCTGAATCTAGTCACCTGAATCTAGTCACCTAAATCTAGTCACCTGAATCTAGTCACCTGAATCTAGTCACCTGAATCTAGTCACCTAAATCTAGTCACCTAAATCTAGTCACCTAAATCTAGTCACCGTGCACATTATTTTCACTTTAACGTCTTTGTGGACAAGAAGATGATGGTCAAAACAAGTTTCTTTCAGTTGATAAAGCTGACACATCATCTGTAAATACAAACACAGTCATTCATGGGGTGATGACAAACACAGACATTCATGAGGTGATTACAAACTTAGACATTCATGAGGTGATTACAAACAGACATTCATGAGGTGATTACAAACACAGACGTTCATGAGGTGATTACAAACACTGACATTCATGAGGTGATTACAAACACAGACATTCATGAGGTGATATCAAACACAGAAATTCACTAGGTGATTACAAACACAGACATTCATGAGGTGATTACAAACACAGACATTCATGAGGTGATTACAAACACAGACATTCATGAGGTGATTAGTCGGTGTTTTGTTCTCTTAATTAAATGTCATATTTCTGACAACTCTTAGTTTGATAAGGGAAAATTCTATTGTCAAAAAACTGTCACCTTATTTGCGGTGCAGGCTTGTACCAGTTCAATAAGATCATTTTTGTTTTGGTTTGAATTTAATTAACTGGATGTTTTCTTTCCTTATAATCTGGTGCTAATGCTAATAGTCTGATCATTACCCATGATTCAGTGCTGGGACCGTTACCAGAAGCCACACGATTAGAGGAGGGAGGGGGCAGGGAGCATGCTGTCATTTTCCCCTCGGTGATCTGTTGACAGAGTGGGCAGTAGCTCAGCCTCTAGCTGGAAAATCTGAACAGAACTTTTTTATTCCACACTCCGGGGTAGGGGCTTAGTAGATTGCATGGCTTGTTTGACTGTTTGGTTAGGAACCCCCAGTGTATTTTGGTTTCTCTGGGTAGGGGCCTCAGTCCATAACTTAATTGTGTAGGGGCCTTAGTGAATAGCTTTATTGGATAGGGGCCCCAGTGTATAGCTCACATGGGTAGGGGGCCCCAATGCATTGCTTTACTGGTCATGGCCCCCAAGTGCACTGTTTTCTTCATTAATGACGATGCAGGAAGGATTCAGTGAATGGCTTCTTTGAAGTTCCAATTATCATCCTGAGTTGCAAATTCTATTGTCAGCTTATTCACATGTGGGGGGCACTAATTAATTAACTTTCCTTATTAAATCTCGTCAAATCAAATCCCTTTTTTTTCATAAAATCATATTTATATAAGAATTTTTGTGCCATTGTTTACAAATTAATTCCGTGTGTTCATAATGTTAAAGAGAAATTGTTCAATCGGTGGTTCTCAAAAGTATGAGATGTAACATCTTTAAGATCCAACATGCCTGTTGTCCAGTCTTCATTGAAAATAATTTACAAGGATAACTGGAAAGGACCAAAGTCCAATAAAATATTGTGTCCTGTCCTGGTGGCCTCATAGGCTCTTAAATGTTTTGCCAGGCAGGACCATCATCACATGCATCCTCTAGGGCAGGCCTGCACAATCTACGGCCCGCGGGCCACATGCGGCCCGCCAGCACCCACGTTGCGGCCCGCGAAGTAACGAAATATTCTTAATTATTATTATTTTCTTAATAACTTCCCCTCACCTGTACTATTTTCTTTCGGCCTGCACAAGTTTTTTTTCAAAAATCATTACGGCCCGCTTTAAATTTTGAGTTGTGCAGGCCTGCTCTAGGGGCCCCACCGACAGCTAGACAATCATCTCCACAATCTCAGTGGTAGAATATACTTGACTCGGTTAACGAAGTTAGAGTTGGTAGGAATAACTCAAGACTATCACCACAGATCTAATACAATAAACTTGGCACTCCACTGCCATCAGTGGCGCTCCACTGCCATCAGTGGCGCTCCACTGCCATCAGTGGCGCTCCACTGCCTTCAGTGGCACTCTTGTGGCTCTGTCAGGGAATTCTCAATAAGATTTTTTTTTTTAAAATGCCCGGGACATGTTTCCCACTGATTGGTTCCTTGTGTTATTTGTTTATGAAGGAAGACCGAAAAAAAACGTTAGTTCAACATTTTCCACAACTGCTTCAGTTGATATGACTAATAGTTAATTTCGAAGGCCGTGATCCACTCACTGCCTGAGGGGGCACTTGTTCCCAGTTTGAGGTTCACTCATAAGAATGCCGCAAATGATTACTTCTTTCACCGCACCCCATAACCACTACAGACAAAAAAAAGGTTGTTTGTCTTTTGTCTTGGGGGCTTTAACTCATCTCAAGACCACAGAGCTATAACTTGCCAGGTATTGGTCAGATGACTATTTCTCCGCTGTCAGGTGCCAAACAAGGTTTTCTTCAGTGCTAGAATCACGGCAATTTTATTGGCTGTTTTAAACTGTTAGTGAGCTATTTGGCAGAGTATTTCTGAGTGTTGGGGACGTTTATGTTGGATGAGATCGGAATTTCAAGAAGGGGGAAGTTATGGTTCTTAACTCTCTATTTTGTAAAAAATTATTTTAAACATTGTTAAATTTTTATCCTCTGACCTTGTGTATTTTCCTAAAGTAAGCATGTGTCTCATTCATTTGAGGAGAGTTCCATAATCACTCATTTATATTGTTCATGTTCAGTTGTGACTATTTGGTCTAGGTCAGGACTCAGAGATTTTCTCTGATGCAAATTATGAATACTTGTTTGTGCTGTACAGTTACTTAGGGTTGGAGTTATAGACTGTGAGGAGTTTTAGACCTGGCTTGATAACTGTGAGGAGTTATAGGCCTTGCTTGATGACTGAGGAGTTATAGGCCTTGCTTGATGACTGTGAAGTGTTATAGGCCATGCTATATGACTGTGAGGAGTTATAAGCCTTGCTTGATGACTGTGAGGAGTTATAGGCCTTGCTTGATGACTGTGAGGAGTTATAGGCCTTGCTTGATGACTGTGAAGTGTTATAGGCCTTGCTATATGACTGTGAGGAGTTATAAGCCTTGCTTGATGACTGTGAGGAGTTATAGGCCTTGCTTGATGACTGTGAGGAGTAATAGGCCTTGCTTGATGACTGTGAGGAGTAATAGGCCTTGCTTGATGACTGTGAGGAGTAATAGGCCTTGCTTGATGACTGTGAGGAGTAATGGGCCTTGCTTGATGACTGTGAAAACTACTTCAAACCTGACAGCCATCCATTTAAATGAATACATATCTGTCTTTGATTGTCTTGATGGAATCAATAGGTTTATATGATTATCAAAACTATTACTTATCATACACTTATCATGGACCGGCTACGGCGGAGTTTAATCGTACACTAATCATACACTAATCGTACACTAATCATACACTAATAACCTGTCTCATGTAAAGGTAGCTATAAAATCATTTTAGTCAGTGTGTTATGTGATGGCGTCATCTTAAGATGATGAAGTTGAACATATCCTAAGCTTCTTACACAGTCAGGAAAAATTCATCACACGGAGTAATGAAATAAAAAAAAAATTTTGTTTGTTTTTTTTTCTTCTTTTTTTTTCTCTTTATTGATAATTTGCAAAAATATCATCTAAATTTGAAAATTTTTGCTTTTGGGCATCCTTTACCTTGTGAGGACATTTTCCTTCAAATGGTATGTCACCCCAGTTCAGTGAAGCTGTGGGGTTGTAACTAACTCAGGTATAGGGTTGCTATTGACTGTGGATTTATATTATCCCAAAGATAGTACACACACTTGTTTTTGTTTTTTTCTTAAATTTTTATGTGCATTCCCAAAAGAAGTTTACAGTATCGACTCATGACAATTACACTGATATATACAAAATTGAAATCGCAATCAGTAATGCCGAGAGCTTCTATTAGTCACACCTAAGGTCTGCATCACAAGCAAGTTTTCAAATGGCGAGTTTTTTCCATTGCTATGCCTAGGCTAAAAACATATTTTTAAATTTATTTCGCTTTTAGCACCCCCCCCCCGCCCGCCCCCATCATCTGTGTTTTGCTGCTCTGATAAGTGTGAAACAGACCTTAACCCCTGGTCAGCTAGCATGGCCTACTTGTTCATCCATGTGAAGGGTTCAAGGGAAATACCAGTGATGTCAGGTTTTGAGAGTTTTGAGTAAAATTAATGATAAAGTTTAAAAACTCCTCACAAAAGTATAAAAATGTCAAAACATCTAAATATTTATTATTGACTACGCTGCTTTATTCAGTTAGGGCGTATGTGTCATATTATTTTATTGAATGGAATGTAGCCACACGGAAGATAACTTGCAAATTTAGAAAAAAACTGACATCACTGGTTTTTTCCCTTGAGCCCTTCATGTGTTTTTAACTAATATCTGTTTCCTTTAGTTATGTGTTCACTATTTGAGCATGTCTGCAGCAGGAGTAAATTATGTGTACACTATTAGAGCATGTATGCATCAGCAGTAGATTATGTATACAATAGCCTAGGGAATATACTTATTGCTAGAGTTTGACATTTATTCTCTTGGGATCATCCTAACCAGAATTCCTCATTTCAAAGCATATAAAATCAACAATTATGTGTCCCTAACACACTGGCTTACAATGGCCCTGCCTAGGTGGCTCCGTTATAGTGTTAACTGACCATTTATTGCTGATCTGGTGCTTGTTTTCTCCAGTGGTCAAGGGGTTAAGCAATCAATGCACACACAGACACCTCCCCAACCACCCTAAAAATGCACCTGGCCGTTATCTTATCTTTGGGCATTCCCGCTGGCCACATATCACATATATATATCAGCATCTTAACGTGGTTCTAAGATGACTGTTAAATCATACGATGAAACAAAACAAAAGGAAATAAAGAATTGGTTTTAGAGCGATCAAATTACTATTTAAATATGCAGAAACCCACAATTCAATAAGAAATTTCACAAAGCCAGTGAAGCTTTGTGACACAATTATAGAATAGTGAGAGATCAAATAAGATTCTATTCTTGATTCATATAAATGAGAACGCGTTTTGATGACATTCTTTTTCAGCATACTAAGACCGTAAACATTCTGATTTTTAAAAAATAATTTATGCTAACTTGTACAATTATGATGTAAGACATTTAAAGTACATTTTTTAATCACAAAAATAACTATTCATTTTTTCAATTCTGTCCAACAGTTATCACCACAATATTGAACATTTTAACAATAACCTTGCACCTGGTTGAGGAATCGGCTAACCTCAGGCCAAAAAAACATCTCCTTTGACAACCAATAGAAACTCTATTCCACAAACACGCTCCCATGGAAACTAGAATTTAGCAATTTTCCACACAAGTTAGTGTCAAGTCTTCTTGGAAAAGTTTCATTTAATGAAAGGATGCTGCACTTTTTTATAAATATTTGTCATTCCCTTTGAACAAAAATGGAAAGCTTGAAGATTGATGTGTTATTGTGTCAAATAATGTTTCCCATGGTTGGTTATTCCAGAAATTGTCACTGCTCTCTACAGTGGTTCTCAAAATTCTGAGTTTTGACCAGCATTAATTTATGTAAATTGCACTAGGACAAATGTCGGGTAAATTGATAACTTTATGTTTCAGGTTTTTTTTACACGCTTCACCTGGTGACTGAGGATTGGGGTCAAGTGCTGATCCAGACTTCACTTTTGAGAAGCACTGCATCAGAAGAAGCTCAAAATTTTTCTTTAACATTTCTAATCTCTATGACCATTTCTAATCTCTATGAAATGATATTCTGATATTTCTTTATTCCAGGCAATATGTACGACCCCAACAGCATGTACGGGGCCATCCACGGCAACTCCATGCTGACATCAGAGCCCAACATGTCCCCTCCCCCCCCTCCCCGAATCTACAAGCCTTGTGTTGTGTGCAACGATAAAAGTTCTGGATATCACTATGGAGTCAGTTCATGTGAGGGCTGCAAGGTAAGAAGGTTGGAGGGGGGGGGGGGGGGGGTTGGGGGGTAAGTCATGAAGAGGGGGGCAGGGTAAAAAAGAGGGGTTTTTAAGTAAATGTTAGGATTGAATAACGATAAAAGTTCTGGATATCACTATGGAGTGAGTTCAGGGGAGGGCGGCAAGGTAAGAAGGGTGGAGGGGGGGGGGGTGGGGGCTGGGGAGTCAGTTCATGAGAGGGGTGCATGGTAAAACAGAGGAGATTTTAAGTTAATGTTAGGATTGCAAGAATGAGGGGTAAAAGGTAAGAGTGAGGAGGTCTTTTATGTCACAATTGTATCATTAAATATTATTGTATAAATTCTTGTAATCGCTGCCAAAAAAAAAAATTGATGTCTTTACTCAATAAAAAAAATAAGGACATGCATTTTTTTCTTTTTTAAAGTTTTAGTAATTGATTGTAGACATTGAACCTGTATTTGGTATAAGAAGTATGAAATAATAATGCATTTTCTATCAGTTATTAATGATAGGTTTGGTAACTTATTTCTTTAACACTGTTTCAGGGATTTTTCCGTCGAAGTGTCCAGAAGAACATGCAGTACACGTGCCACAAAGAGAAGAACTGTGTGATCAATAAAGTGACCAGAAACCGGTGCCAGTATTGTCGACTTCAAAAATGTGTTGTGATGGGAATGTCTAAGGAAGGTAAGAAGTAAACTCCAGCAAAAGACAACCAGCCTTATTTTAAAACCATGAAATAATTACATCTCCAAATTAAAGTTTGTTATTCGATAGAAAACTGCTTTTAAAATTATTATTTTTAAAGCCGAATTAACGGTTTCATTAATTGTAGTTCTTATTTTATTAATCTCACCTCATGCTGTTAATTTTTACCCGTTTAAAGGAATGTAGCTACCAAAAGTATTATTAAAATAGGTTAATATATCATTAAAAAATTCTTTAATAAAGAATTAGTAAAGTCTCTGCTCATGGTAAAGTGAATAGAAAATTAATTTAAAAAGAAAAAACTTACTGTAGTTATTAGAATTAAAAGTGGTGGACTACACTCTTGCCCACACACTCTGATTAAACTGAAGTTAAGGTGCCGTTGTTTTCAACATCAAATTTAAAATTTCACTACAAATATTTACTAAGGTGACCATTTGAACTATTTTTACCAGCACAGTACTGGCTTTTGGAAATTTGGTTAGTCATGAGTTTTAACCAGTAGTAAAGTTAAAGACTAATGAAAAAAAAATGAAAATGATTATTTCAACAGAAGATGGAGTACAAATTATGATATCCAGGCAACAAAAAATATTTAATTCATACAAATTAGCTTCACCCTTAATGTTTTTTTTTAAAAAGACTGCCACACAGACAAAGATTTTTTAGTGTAAACACTAATTGTGTTGTTGTTGTTTTTTTAATTGGACACCTATGGCACCAAAACAACTTTAAATGTTCTGGTTTTACAATTGGAAATTTTTGGGGTTTTAAACCTTGAAAATATCTAAATGTTTTTTCTTTTAAATTTGAAAAAAAAGGTCACTTTAAAATTTACATAATTTTTCAGTAAGAATCAACCAACATTTTAAAGATTTATGGCGCTTTTAAAATTTTTTTTACAGTATTTGAGCTGTCTAAGATTTCACATACTCGAGATATAATCATTTTAATGTAATTCCTAAACAAACCAAAAATTATAACTATTTGATAAAAGGCCAATGGAAAAGTTTGATGTTTGACTATTTCAAATCAGTTTTAACATGAATTTTGTTGAGTTTTTTTCTTGTCTTCTTTTCTTATGCAGCTGTAAGAAACGACAGAAACAAGAAGAGGAAGCAGAAACCGGAAAGCACATCGGGCGGTCCCGACGAGGTGACGGAGGACGACCAGATGTTGATACAGGAAGTGCTTGACGCTCACCGTGATACGACACCTGATGGTGTCAATGGCTCAACATTGCCGGGCTCGAGTTCAGGGGCAGCGACTAGTTCAATGGCAGCTAATTCATCACCAACCGTCGCCACCTCTACCTCAGTAAGCAACACGCGGCCGTTTGTCGTAGTCTGTTATCTCACTTTCAATGAACTCCTTACACCATGCTAAACCTACTAATACAAGCAATCCCTTTTCAGAGGAATTGACAACCCAGCATTGCTTTCTTAACCTGATAATTATGACCATGTTCTTCTTCTTCTATGTATTAAGTGACTACGATCAATTTATTGATCATTTTGGCTCCTATGCATGTAGAGAGGATTTGCAATGTTTCTGTGTCTGGTGTTGATGGGGATATTTCACTGATTCCAAGTGCGACTTTGTGAGGGAATCATGCACAGGGTTTAAAAGTCCTGAGGCAATAGACACAAATGTGTCAAGTGTTGTCACATCAACTGTTCCTTTTGGAAGCTTGTTCCAGTCTCTGGTTGTTTTTGACAGGAATGAGCAGATCCTGTACTGGCTTCTTGCTGGTATGAGTCCGAACTGCCTGTCATGGCCTCGTCATTGTCTATGGGGGAGAGGGACGAGTTTCTGTTTAATGCTGGAGCAGTGGACCAGCACATTATTTATCTTGTAAATCATGGAGAGCCTGGGTAGTCGTCAATGTTCCAGCATGCTGTCAACACTAGAGGTGTTTCAGGACAAAGCGTGCTGCCCGTCGCTAGACGGCTTCCAACCTGTCGATGCTCTTCTGGGTCAATGGGTTTCAGACTGAAGATGCATAATCTAAAAGCGGACAGACAAAGGCTTTATATTTAAATATAATCCTCTTACTTTTTAATGAGTCAGTCAATTTAGTTTAATGAGAAATGTAAAATGCAGCGCTTGTGGATTTTGTAGGACTAGACTTAATAAGATGGAAGAATAGATAAGGAAAAAAAGTGCTGGTGCATTGGTTATCCAAGGTCAGGTGATAATTATACACTGCATGCCAAGACAATTCAAGGATTCTTCTTGACTAGACCATGTTTATAGAAATTTGGACATGCATCAGTCATAGAGTGTGTACACTTGTCATGCAACCAATGGTTCCCTTCTTTGTATTTTCCAGGAGACCAAGTCAGAAGATGATTCTGGCTCATCAGGAGTTTTTTTATGGGAGAAGATAACAGAGCTTTCATCGGCCGGCATCGTCATGATCGTCGACTTTGCCAAGAAAATTCCCGGTTTTTTATCATTATCTACCTCTGATCAGATCACTCTTTTAAAGGCAGCTTGTTTGGAAATAATGGTAACAACTCGATAGATTAGCCCCTTGATATATTTATGTTAAAACAACTCGATGGATTAGCCCCCTTGATATATTTATGTTAAAACCAATCTTAATATTCATTTAACTGTAACTGAGTATAAAAATGGAAAAGATTGATGAATGATTAAATTCAATCCAAAATTAAATGATAGAATTATTGCAGTATCACATTTTATAAAGTGCTTACTCCAAGTGACCTATCGAAGGAAAAATAGTCTATAAAATATTTGTTCCTCCCCAAGATCCTCCGAATCAGCATCCGCTATGAGCTTGACACAGACACTATGCAGTTTTCCAATGGCCTGTCTTTAACCCGTGAGCAGCTACAAAGGGGAGGCTTTGGACCATTGACCTCAACCATTTTTTCATTTGCTGCGTCACTGAAACGTATGAACTGTGATGAGACAGAGTACGCCATGCTGTCCTCAATATGTTTGATAAGTGGGGGTAAGTGAGAAGTAAATATGTACACATTCAGTGCCTGTTTTGTAGATAACAAGGTGCTGATACTGGCGCTTTGATTGGAGAGAAGCAGAATTCTAGGGTGCTGAAGGGTCCAGGGCAAAGGTTAGGGGAAGGTCTGGGGATAATTTCAAAATGCAAGAATGAATTTTGGCACATACTTGAATTTAAGTTTCCAGCATTCTGCACTTGATCATTTACTGTCAACAACAAAAAAACGCACTGTACATATACTTTACATTTGACATATTTTAGAAAATGATAAGCTTTTTAACATTAATGATAAGGAATATTTATCTGTGCTGCCCAAAATCATTGAAAATACAATGTTTAAGATTGTTCATGAAATGATATTTTTTGGCTAAACTTTCCGAAAAGAACCAAAGATGATTTTTTCCATTCTTACTGGGTTAAACAGTTTTCTTTATGCTGTGTTTCTACTTTGAAGAGAAAATTTATGACACAACTGCTTCTTTCATTACAAATTTTAATTTTAGAATTAAAGAATAATATTCCAGGCATCCAATATCTCAATTAATGAAAAAAAGTTAATTTCAAGTGATTCTCTTGTGTCCTCAGATCGCTCTGGCTTACATGACACTGAAAAAATTGAACAAATGCAAGAACCCTTGCTGGAGGCTCTGAAACATTACATCAGGTCACGGCGACCTGACCAGAAACACACATTTGCTAAAATGCTCATGAAGCTCACAGATCTACGCAGCATCAGTGTCAAAGGTCAAACACTTTTTTTTCCTGATTTTTTAAATCTTTTTTATTTGGCTTGCACTTTTATCATGCTTATAAACTAGCATTTATTAGCAACATATTTATTTATTTCAAAATTGCCTGCTTTATTTACTGTGCTAGTCATCCCCTATATTTTGTTTAATTAGATATGTTTGTTGTTTCCATATAAATATGTTTTTTTTTAACTTTTGAGGGCTTTGAAATAGTAATTATAATTTATGAATCAGAATTTATTTTAAAATAAATATTAAAATATTTAAAAAAATTAATTTTACATTAAAAAAATATGTGTCATGAAGTCAGTTGATTAAAAAAAATTCAATGTGTATATTACATTATAAATTAAAAGTTTCCATAACTGTGGTGACAAACCAACTGAAGATAACTGTTCAGCAGTATTTACATATACACAGAATAAAGGGCTGAAAATGTTTAGTTTAAAGGTTTCATCGGTAAGACAAAAGAATTCCATACCCAGGAATACACTTTAGTTGTGAGGAATTAAGAATTCGTTAGTCTCCAATTTTCCAAAAAGACTAAATTTTGCTGTGGGGTGCAATAAAATAAAGCATGGGCGTTTCTGTTTGTTTCTTACATATAATCCTCATTTTTAAAGGGCTGCATGATCATTCACACATGTAGAGGATGAATAGATGCATACACTGATAGATAACAAAAACATCTGCTCTATCTAAACACATATTTTATGAAAGCCACCATTATCACCACCCACCCACCCTCCCCTCCCCTTCCCTATCATTATTTCACTTATTTCCCATTGAAAAATCAAAACCTTTTAATGCGGCAATCTTAAAATTTTTGTAAAATATAGGATGCCACCTTTAAGGACATAAATGTTAGTCTAAAACTACTACATATTACAACAAGCTTAGCTGCATTTAAAATAATAGGTTGTCTGTACATGACCAAAACATTAACTCTTAATCCCAAACCAAAGTGTGACTGCACCATTCTTAAATATTCCAAAGTTAAGTGGCTGAGAGAAGAGAACTGTACTTAAAAGAAAATCATCAGTTTAAAGACGAATTCAGACACAACGAAATATAAGAGAAAATTTCATGGAGTTATAACTAATTTAACAAATGTGGACTTTGTGACACACTGAGCCATCAGAGCCGCTCTTAGGAGTTTGGGGGCTCTAAGCATGGAGCTTGGTTGGGGGCCCCGGAAGGGGGGGGTCAAGGGGTGGAGCGCCCTTGAGCTGAGGAGAAAACACCACCCACCACTGCGGCACCTCCATTCTGACTTCATCAATGTTTCCTCTTTCCCATTTCCATGGCCAAGCCCCCCGATTTCCTGTCTGCCACCCCCAAAGCTCCCCCCTGCTGCTTCCCTTCCCCTGCCTCCGAATTCAACTCAGAATGATAAATTTCAGGATGAGGAAGGTAACGTGAGTGACACAGACGGCTGCAGTGCCAGTTTAAAAAAAAACGGGGAATTGAGGGCGCCTCACGGGGGCCCCCTCATGTTCAAGGCCCTATGTATGCAGATGCGTAGTCAGCGTATGCCTAAGAACGGGCCTGGAGCCATTTAAACAAATCTGTCATTAAAGACTTAACCAGGCTAATCAGTGTTAGAAAGCTACCTCAAAACTTTATTTTAAACTATCTGAAACTTTTAAAAATTTTCCCTTTCTACCACCTTGAATCCAACATTTGCTGAATTCTTGCACCAGGCTTATTTGTATGCTAGCTAGGCTTGCTTACGTAGTTACATATTTCCACTTGCCATTATTTGCAAATGTGATTTTTATTTTAAAAGTAAAAGTCCTTCCCCTACCCTCCTGGTGTATATTTGCATCAAGCACGGCCAATGTCTGTAGTGAGATAACGTACTATTCCTAAATTTTCATTTCAAATACCATAAACTAAAAAAAATTAAAAATTAAAATTTTAAAATGTAACATTTAACTCTAAGACATTTGCTGTGCTTTCACTTTCATTGTATTCATGAAAATTAACCAGAGGCAAAAAAAAAAAAAAATTCTCAGTACAAATCATGAATCAATTCGTAAAGAAAAATATGGATTGTGGGGTTTGATTCATAAAAAATTATATATATTAAAATTTGAGAAATTTTTTTACTGCTGATATGGACAGGACATTTTATATATTTTTCTTGAGCTCACTATTGATGGATAATATACTTGCATATAGTCAATGTATAATATACTTCCATATAGTCAATGACTATATTTTTTATTTCTTTTTTGCCTCTGTGTGGAGCTTTAATTTTTGTTTGGTGCTTCCTGCTTGGCTTGCCCTTATTTTTTGCCCTTTTTTTTGTTATTTTGTTGCTTGTAGGTGAGAAACAGATGTCCCCCTATGCCTTGGACTGCCTACGTGACTTGCTGCTCGAACCCACCCCCAAACCACAACCTCCCTCACTTTACAGCCGAATTCCACCTCCTCCTCCTCCCCGTCTCACCTATGGGGGGAGGTCAGAAACTGTGACCTCGGCAACCCTTAGTGCTAGCCTTGACCTTGGCAACTCCCTGCCAGGTTTGAGAGCAGCAGCAAGCTCCCACGCGCTTATGCCCCCGGCTTACCCAACCTCTAGTAGAGATAGTGGCCTCGGTACTCTTACAAATCTTACAGGTTCTAAAATCAACATCCTGGCATCGTTACCAGGGAGGTGCCAATCTGCCTCCAGTTTTCCAGGGTCTAATGGTGAAGCTGCGCTGGCAAATGACTTTGGGATGGATCCCCGACGTCCCCCATCGAGACCCCAGTCAAGTGGATCTCACACCAACAATGGGCTAAGCCCTTTGACTTTCAGTAATGGGAAAACCAGCAAAGATCATCAGCTTTATCTTGGCCAGTGGGCTGCCAAGGAACAGCACCAACTTGGGCAGCAGTACCCAATGTTTACTGGCTCATCAAAAGGGGACAGTTTTTCTATGGAGGCTCTGGAGGTTGTTGTGAAGCCATCCTCGCGGTTGGCGAGCTCGTCCCCCTCTCTGAACCAGAGTCCATCTGAGGCGGCCAGCTCTGATCCTCTGCCGTCGCCTCATTTTTTATCTGGCTTACACCAGCAGCACGAATACTCCTCACCATCATCTGACGCCAGCGGTGGATTAACTTACCAGCCAAGCAGCTCAGCGGCTGGTATCAGCTACTCGGCTGCAAGTACTGCCGCATCTCAAGTTCCTTACTCATCTGATCAATTTTTGTACACGTCGCAATCTTCTAATGAGCTCATTCTCTCCCAGCTGGCTCAGGCCACCATGGAGTATACACAGAGCCTGAGGTCATCGACTTCAACATCGTCCACCACACCCAGCTTCTCATCGAGGACAGAAAACTCAAGAGGTGCCGCCTCAAATCAAGAGCTGTTATCAGACCTCCACCAGGCTACTGATATTGCCTCACTGTTTAACATCAACAACAACATGCTTATGTCTCAGGGCAAGGAAGACGTTCTACCTATGTGGGTCACGGAGCTAAGAGAGGGAAATCTTGTTTACAGACCAGATGTCTTGGGACAGGCTCGAAACGGCTCAATCGGGATGGGAGCTATGTCATCTGACGCATTACAGGGGAGCGTGGACTCCACAACGGAGGATAACATGATAGAGATGCCACTTATAGACCCAAAGCAAGGAGTGGGAAATGATAATGAGGCCAAACCTTCTTCAGCGATGAGCATAAGTCAGCTGATTGGCGGTGCTATGAAGATTGAGCCGGAAGATTGGATGCATTATCCTGACACCCAATAATTCAAGTTAGGCAGCAAAAAAAAATAGTAATGCGCAAATAGATCATGTTTGACTTATCATTAAGTTAGGTCCATTTGCTGTTTAGGGTTTGCATTTTTAATTTTGTCCAAATGTTCTTAACTAGAAATATGGATTAGCTCAAACTTTTACAAGTAGCCTGTGGTTTCAGGTTATGTTATCTGGACATTATCTAATAGATATTGTGGATGCAGTAAGCAGTTTTGAAATCAGTGGTTAAAAATACAATTAATATTCAACACAGACCAAAAAAATAATAATAATAATGAACGGAACGGAATATTAATCTCTTAGTATTCAAATTGAAATTATGAACAAAATAAGGCACAAAAAGGCAAATGAAACAAATGGAATTGACTAGTTAAATATGAGAAATTTCCTAATTTTCTTTTGCTCACCTCAAAACACATTTTTCTTGTATTTAACTAGATTTGTATTTTGTATTGAGATTTATTACAATGCCAGTGCAGTCATTCATTCAGACCTTTTGTCAAGATGTTTCGTATTCACAAGTTGAGACCACCAAATAAGCCATTGCAATTATCAGATCAGGCATGTGTCATTTAAATATTGGGTAGAAGAAGTGTTCGAAAGCCACTGGCACCGGGGATCACATTATGAGAACCACTATAATAGTTATTTAAGAATGACTTGAATGTTGTTAGCAGAGGTTTTTTTTTTTTGCTAGCCTCTGTGAAGATTGAAGATTCATGTGATATCAAAACCATCTTTACAAACAAAAACTGGAGTAACATATTCTTTACAATTTTGTCCTCGTTGAATTTTGATTACATTTATTTTTTGTGAACATTTTGATTCTAACTCAGGGAACTCATTGATTGATTCTAACTCAGGGAACTCATTGATTGATTCTAACTCAGGGAACTCATTGATTGATTCTAACTCAGGGAACTCATTGATGCCTTTTTTTTTTTTTTTAATTCAGTTTTTTATTGGAGAATAATTTGGGAGAAGAAAAAAAATGTGTAAATAAGGGATGCAGAATTTGAAAGACTAAATTTCACATGAGCTCATATGATACTAAATACAGATGCTAAATATGAACATAACAGAAAATAAAATACAGAATCTAAATATGAACATCACTGAAAATAAATACAGATGCTGACTATAAACATAACAGAAAATAAATATGGATGCTAAATACAGCCTTTGTGACTGTAAACACCTGTTTTTTTCCATTAATTCAAATAATTTTTACAAACATTTTTGTAAATAGATAATTTGTGAAATGTAACCATCTTGCGTAACCAAAGATTCAGTTTTAAAGTCGTCTTTATTTCCAATGCAATGACGACTAAGGAAAATTACCACTGTAAAACATCCATACCATTCATTATTTCAAGCGTTTTTGTATTAAATGCCAGAGATGGTCCCTACAGCATTTCATAATGATATGGGCCAAAAAGCAGAGTTGCAGTATTACCATTGCAAAATAGTTATTCAGATGTTGGGCAATAACAGTAGTCTCTGCTGCCATTCAATGACAGTATCATAATGATATGTTTGGGCTGCGAATATCTTTTTTTTTAAAGGCTGGAGACAAAAATGTACAGATGTAATAAAATAAACATACTGTGTTTATATCGCTGATTATATGTTTATTTCAGGTTGTTTTTTTTACTCTTGTGAAATAAAACTTTGAGGGATGTCCTTCTTTTCGTGTATGTGCCCAAGGGTACTATTAAAAAGCAACCAATGAAATATGCTGATTTTGATTCATGCTAATGCCACCCAAATGTACATATAGCCTTTATGGAACAAATAAACCCAGTGTCGTTGTTTTAATCCCTGTGTTATTATGGAAACCCGTTGATCACGTTCTTCAAATGATTGTTTTCTTCTATTGTATTTTTTTTTAATAGTGCTATATTTAAAATGTTAATTTTTCTTTCTAAAAAATAACAACCTCCTCATTGTTTAATGATTTCAGGAAACAAAATTAAATAATTTGTTTATCTTATGTTCAGAATAGACCCATCTGGTGTAAATGCATAACCAAGGAGCTAATATGTAAAGAATAAAAAAATCTATATTCATTTTTAAGATTTAATGCCATTTTTAAAAATTAATTTTCTTTACAAATTTCTTTAATATAAATACTCTTCATGGACTAGATAAATATGTAACAAAAATTTTCGTTTCAAATTAGAATGTAAAAAAAAATATGTTTATTTAGGCTATATTAAGAGAAATAAAAACAGCTTTATTCTTCCGGAATGAAACACTGGATATAATAAAACAGAGAAAAGGATTGAGTATTTTTTTTGTTTTTTCTTATAACAGCTGATCATGACAAACCCATTGCAATGGCCATTTCAGATATTTGTGTACAGATGCACTTCTTTTACAATAACTTTATTGTTACATGTTGCAACTTTTAGAAATATGCTGTATATATATATATTTACTAGCATAATAGGTTGGGTGTAAATTCGACATGAGTATATGTTCATGCTTGTCTTAAATGCTTGTTAGCAAAACTTTTCAAACATATTTGTATCTAGTATTTTAGCTAGAATTTTATTTAACATCTTTGTTTTCTTTCTTTTTTTAACTTCTAAAAAAAAAATTAAAAAATTTGAAGAATAATTTTTTGCTATTCCTTGAGTTTAATATATTAAATTGAATGAATACAAATGATCTGCATAGTATTCAAAGACATAAATATATCTACCGTGACATTGTCTGGAATCTTTCTGTGAAAATCTATAATTCCATCTACATTAAAAACAAAGTGTTTCTAGGAAGGCTGCAAGTAAACTCTTATGGTTATATTTTTCTTTGTTTTTTAATTTTCTATTTTTTTCCTTACACCTGGTATAACTAAAATGTTTATTATGTTGTTAAATTTGTTTTTTAATGTTTTAAACTAGCAAGTAATAAAATACCGGTGAGAAAATTTATTTTGCTTTTCTTTACATTTTAAAAATTTTGTAACGTGAGATTTATTGTAAAAGCTAATTTGAATTCAGTCATGTCAGGATATTTTTTCCCCCTTTATATTTTAATTCTGTTGTCAATACTCATCCATATTATAAATAATTTTATGATAAATTGTCCACTGTCTTTTAATATTATTTTCAGCCCATCTTTAAAAAATGTCGTATAAATTTCAATTTTAATTCCAATTATTTTTAAGACATTAAATTTCTGTGTCATTATTTGAATTATCTAAAGTTCCATAACTAGACAGATTTTAAAACTGAGATTCATAACAGACTCCCTATAGCATAAATATTATTATTTTTTAACTATGAAAATTAAAGATTTTTGTAATTTCAAACAAATCATGTGTCTTTGCATTTTGTCCCTGGACATTTTGTGCTACCGTAGTTCACATGTATTCTATATATGCTTTTAAAGCTTCTTCCATTTTTTTTTGTTTTTATATTAAGATTTGCACCCTTGCATGCTACCATTTTTGTATTGTTGTATCAGTTGAGACTTAGAAGTAGCCCCAATCAATATGTTAAAAATATTTGATTTAGAAGTAACTTTAGCTGTTTTTAGTTTAATATTGTGAGGTCATTAAATTGTGCAAGCTGTGTATACACAAAGGTAAGGTTAAAGCTAATCTATTTCTAACTTTTATTAGCATATATAAAGGTAGTTTTTCTAACCTTACACTTGAAGTTATTTTATGTTAATTTCTTTTTAAATTTAAAAGATATTTTTGTGGCACAGTTTGATTAAAACTTGAATATGGTGGAAAATAAATAATTTTAATATTAATGAGAACCATGCACTATAGAAATGATAAGGAATTTTGTTTAAAATACATATCTTTAATTTTTTTCAAATTGTAATCAGGTGCTGAAAAAGTGCTCCATCTACGCTTAGAAAGATATGCTCAGTTGCCCCCCTTGGTTGTAGAAATGCTGGAACGTGTTGAAAATGTTTGCTTGCCTTGAGCATCTGCCAGGAAAACCTGGCAACAATCTACAAGCAATAAACCTTTTTTTTAAACTTTTGGCCATTCTGTTTTACCAACACCAAGTCTGTTTTATTAACTACAATGTTATGGCCGATAGGACACAGAATCAAATTGCCAATGTACCTAGATGATCTCGCTCTCTACATTAACCCTGTCTTTACCAGGCCAACATGGTTGGATAAAACAATAATCATGAAAGATGGAGTTCAATACAAATTAACACTTGGAGCAGCAGGACAAATCCAGCAATGCAATTTATTCAATACTTGAAGTTGGAGTTGCTGATTTCTACAATCTCTTAACTATTTGTCTTCCTTGCCTTTTTAGCTTTTACTGCACTATAGCAATTTTGTAGCTGATACAGGAAATTAGGACTTTTTTAACAGTTACGGCCTTATGGCACCTTTGTACAGGAAACTAGGGCTTGTTATGTAAATCTCATTGAAAATAGATTTTACAAAAAATTTTTACCTTGATTCAAAATTGAATGCACTCTAGTCCAGTGTATTTCAGATTTGTTTGCCAGGAATGCTGAAAATTTCATCTATATTCATCTATATAATATAATCTTTTGGAGACAGTCACATGGGTCATACTTAATAAAAAGAAATTCTATATATGTTATTGAAAATAATATTATAATTTGGCCAATAAGGTATGACACTGAATTAGAATTTAAAAATTTCAACTATTTTTTTTTTTTTTTCACACCAAACTCTCCAAAGCTCTATTTTTTTGGTACCCTTTCACATTGGATCTGTAGGCAATGGTGAAGTAAAGTTATCTTTGTCATTCTCAGTGTCATAGAATATCATAGGTGCTGCCAGTGTTAAAACATGAACTATTTTATGACACTTGTGAATCGCTGATCCAATGATACAACTTTAAATATGTGTTTCATATTTAAACTTTCTAATGCTAAAAATTTGATAACACCATGGCTAACCCAGAGCTTAACTCTGAATAAACCCATCCAGTAGAAAATTGTATCCTTTTTTTAATAGTATAATCAAGAATGAGATAAAAGAAGATAAACTGATGTCAGAGAGAGGGGTAGGAAATGGCAGACATATGCAGGTCAAGGATTTGTAAAATGCATGTTGGTCAATTATAGATGGAGAGAAAAATTGTTTAAATACCTATCTTGATCTCATAGACGAACGAGAAATACAAGACACAAACTTTGTGTCATTCTTCACTTAATGAGCCTGATCATTGTAATTACTTTATGTCCAGACTTTGGACTTCAGGGGGTGATAAGCCCTGACAATTAAAATTGTGTCCCTCAGCCTAAACGGCAACAACAAAAAAACATGATAAGGAACTTCTATTAGCGGTACCTCATGCTCTAAGCCTGTGCTTAAAATTGGTTTATTTGTAAACCTGGACTTCTTTTTGCTGTAATTATTTTTATTTAAGTAAATGGACTGAATTACTATATTGATAAACCTCGACTACCTCATCATTTTTACAAAAACCTCACAATTTCTGACAACATGTTTTTGAATACATCAATTCTATTGGCTTTCTCTTTGTTATTCTATGATTTTCTTAGAAATTATTTTGAACAGCATCAGAACTCATGTTTTAAACTGTATCTTTTTAAACCAAATGTTTTTAAACCAAATGTTTTTAAACCACATGTTTTTAAACCATGTTTTTTAAATCATTTCTTTAGCTTTTATTTTGATCTATGGAATCATACATTAGTTTTATCTCAAATAATTAGGCTTGTTAAAATTTCAGGGATGGGTATAGAATCATTCAACTGTGATAAAGTCAGTAATTTGGTTAAAAGAAGTTTAAGGATGTGGTTAATTTTTAGTACAGTGTTAATCAAAGATGAGGTAAGGGTCAGGGATTGATGACGGGACCAGTTTTAACCAGGATAAAATTATTGACAACTTTTGGAACAAAAGCCATTTGGGAAGCGACAACCATAAATTTTTCTGTCTTATACTGATACTAAAAATTTATTTCTAGGAGACATCCATTAGATCAATCAAAACATACAGCAAAAGAAATTAAAAGATAATGTACGAGGAACTGTATTCAAACCGTGTGAAGTGAATAAATAGTGAAACTAGAAATGTTTAGGCTTGAAACGAAAAGACAGGACAATTAAACGGACATTTCGGCTAGATGTCTTCTTCAGCAGACAATACAAAACAAGAAACAACTGATACTTTAAACTAAAAATAGAAATAAAAACTAATGTTTTAAAAAATTTCAATGTCAGTGGAGCGGAATGTTAAGAGCAGGAAGAGCTGTTCATTTATAAAAAAATGTATACCCTCATCATTTGTTAAATTTGCTTTTCATGCTGGGCTGACCTCAAAGCTGTACAAATACACATTGCAAAAAAAAGTACTTCAAAAATATTTTAAAATTATCAGACATCTGTAGATTTATGAAACATATTGTCAGATACAGTTGATAACATTTCTTTTTTGTTGTTTATTTTTATTGATCTTTCACCTATGACCTCCTACTGCTAAAATTTTTAATATAATGAGCTCTAGCTTTAAGTAAATGAGACCGCTCTAAATAAGGTTCTCAAACTTTTTGTTATCAATTAAAGGAATAGTTGGAGATATAGTCAGTGCCAGCATCAAAAACATTTTTTGGGGTACATTTTCTAATTAATTAGCATTAAAGACCAAGAGTTAAAAAAACTTATTTCATCATCCCAACTGCAGCATTCATCCCACTTGTCCCTTCAACCCACCCTAGACCCAAAATTAGTAAAGTAAATTATTTATTTTATATTAAATGCATTCACCATTAGCACATATATTTCACAATTTGTAAGTACCTTCAACAGGGGAATAATTATGCACTGTTTTAACATCAATAATGACAAATGGCAACTAGCAAGCAAAATGGCATATTAGCATTATTTATTAACAATTGTATTTAAGGTTGTAAGCAAGAAGTGCATTTGTACTATACAAGTTTGTGTTTGTTTTATAAAACTATGTGTATCATTGTGGTCCATTGGTTTAAAATAAATTCAGTGTTGTAGTTAGCTCAGCAAATGGCGAAATGTGGTCAATGAAATGAAAGCTAATTAATAAAACCAAATAGGGTAACTCAGCAGTCATATTTTTTTAAAACATGAAGTGAAAACCAGCTCCTAAATCAAGTGCTTAAATGAGGATCCCTACATATATTTGTAATATATCCTGTGTGAAAAGACTCATTTGATTAGTATTTTTGAAATTTTAATAAACAATCAAAGAAAAAATTGTTTGTTTCAAATTTGAGAATTAGAATTTATAATTATTACAAGTTAGAGAAAGTTATATATTTGCGCGATTAGATGTAATAGGAATAGATTCTAATATAATTACGGTATTAGATATTTGAGACATATCAATTTGAATGGAGCTGGTTGTACCAGTTGACGAATTGTCTTTTAAATATGTTGTGAAGGTTAATTTGTAATTGTATGTACCAGTACCAGTACACATTAGAATTATAAGATTGTGCTACTCTTGTGCTTATTAAGCCCAGTATATTTATTTACAATGAAATATTTCAATAGTTTCATTTGTTTACTTCAACATGTATAATTATGTATAGCTTGTTTTAGGTTGTATTTAGTTGTTTTTTTTTTCCTCCTTGATTACTATTTGAACTCTCTCTTCAAGCTGGTTGGTCATTATGTATCCAAGGCATGACAAAATTGTGAATGAGATAATTTGCTTGAGCTTTTTTAGCATTGCCGAGTGATGAAATAAAGTTGAGATTTACCTATTGTTTCATCAATGAATTTTAAAAATTCAACTTTGCTTGTAAATAGCATCGTTTAAATTTTTAAAATCTGCGTTTTTTGTTTAGCCATAAATATGGCATGTAACATCGACTGTTTCAGTTTCAAATTAGGCTGAACAAATATTGACTTGATCTTTTAACAAAAGATTTACAAAATTGCAGATAATTTTCAAAACATCAATAGGCCTTTATTTCCTAATGGTTAATGATTCAATTTTGGGTGAAACAATAGTTTTATTGCTCATCATAGACACTTGAACAACCTTTCATTGAGGACTGAATAAGTGTGATTGGCTCTTTACTCTCTCAGACAATGTCTGTGTGTCTGATTTTTATGAAAGTTTTGTTTTTAAAATGTTGGTTTGTAATTTGTACCTCACCGAATTTTTTTTCTCTTCCATTTGTTAATTTAGTTTTTCAGTGATTTAACAAAATGGCACATGGCTGTTAGACAGCATTCAGGTAGTCAAACTTTGTAACATGTATATATCTTATGAATATTTAGGTTTTTTTGTTTTTTTACCAGCTCTTTTATAAGCACACTGAGCGTTCCATTAATTAATACCTCTTTTTATTTCATTGAATTTATTGAATTGAACAATGTGATTTCACATAATGGTCTCACCTCTGATGTATTTAAAGCCATTCTTTATTTATGGTAACAGGCACTATCATTAACATCATTCACTAAGTGAATAAATTTCCCTTATAAAATTTTTAAAATGAGGCATCACCTTGAATTTTGTAGGGGAAATTTATGATTTAGGTTTTTGAAAGTGTCCCTTCACAAGCCTACAGACAGTGAATTTTTTATATTAAATAGCACCATTTCGATACATCGTCACTGTAACTCTCTTTTGTGTAAGTCATTAGACTCTAAAAAAACCTAATAAGTTTAAAATGAACTTTTAAAACATTTGGTTAAATCATGTGACAGAAAATCCAATACTGGTAGTGCAATTTTTAAACTATTTTATAGGACATGGGATTTGAATAACATTGAAAAAAACGTTTTTACGAAAAATATGACTTGCATGATTGGAGAATTACAGCAATGATATTTATTGCTTTAATTGAGAATAGCCCTCCCTCTCTCTCCCCACCAGTGATATGGTAAAGAGATGTATATATGATAGATCCAATTCATTCTCCTGGCTGGAAATTTGGGGAGAGTTTGATGCTAGAAATACATTTTTTTCT